AGAATGGAGTAGCTACAGACATTAAGACAACTTGGGATGATTCTGCCAGAGTGTTTTATTTCAAGACCTATATTGATGAGGCTTTTAAAGGTGCACACAAATACATTTATTACGACAAATATGAATGATTTTCATGACTGTTTGATGATTTTTAGTGTTGATCATTAATTTCTGTGTGTATGTTTTAATAACAGCCTATGACCTTGATGGTGTGAAGGTGAAAGGATACATAGCAACATCTCTCATGGATTCTTTTGAGTGGCTTAATGGGTACAAAGTTGGATTTGGGTTACACCACGTGGACTTCACTAACCCAAACCGCCCAAGGACACCCAAGTACTCAGCTCATTTCTATTACCAAATTATAAAAGACAATGGTTTCCCTACACCAGATGATGAGAAGCAACTTTATGGACATTTCCGCAAAGATTTTATTTGGAGTACTGCAACGGCATCATACCAGGTAACTTTTTGTGAAGCTACTTCATTATAGCTGGATCAGGGAATTGCTTTTGCCCTCTTTTTTTGCCCATTTAAATCTCTGTTTTACATTTACTATCTACAGATTGAAGGGGGATGGAGAGCAGATGGAAAAGGTCTCAGCATCTGGGACAAGTTTGCTCACACTCCTCTCCGAGTGTTCAATGATGACAATGGGGACATAGCCTGCAACAGTTACCATAAAGTAGAAGAGGACGTTGCTATATTGAAGCAACTCAAGGTGACCCATTACCGTTTCTCCATATCCTGGCCGAGAGTGCTTCCTGATGGCACTACCAAGCACATTAATGAGGCTGGACTCAACTATTACCACAGACTGGTGGATGCACTACTTGCTGCAAATATCCAACCTCATGTATGTGTAATTTTTGCCAGCATCTTAAAACAATTTGTAATGGAAACTTGGTAAATTTGGTTAAAAAATTAACTGGTTTTCCTTTGCTTTCAGATCACTCTCTACCACTGGGACCTCCCACAAGCTCTGCAGGATATTGGGGGCTGGGAGAATGATACTATCATTTTCAAATTCAGGGATTATGCTGACCTCATTTTTAGTCGTCTTGGCCACAAAGTGAAATTCTGGATCACCATTAATGAGCCGTACAATGTAGCCAATGTAGGCCATGGCTACGGAGCAGCTGCACCAGGTATGCTTTTACCTAATGCTCTGCAATTTTATCAAAATAATATTGCAATTCCATTCATTATTTTGTCATTCACTAGTTGTTGAGTAAACCGGTCCTTAACCTTATCCTTCTAAACCACATTGACAAAAACCATATAGCTAAACAACTATAAAATGTGTCTATTACTCCTTGTATGTGTCCAGGGATCAGTTTCCGACCAGGCACTCTGCCCTACATTGTGGGTCACAGCTTGCTTAAAGCTCATGCTGAGGCCTGGCATCTCTATAATGACAAGTACAGGGCCAAACAGAAAGGAATTATCTCCATCACCATCAACTCTGACTGGTCAGAACCCAGAAATCCCTATAAGCAGGAGGACATTGATGCTGCAAAACGTGTGGTGCAGGTACACAGGAAATACACTGGAAATACATTTGTGTCTTATTGTTTGCAGAATCTTCTTTTGTCTGCTCATTCCTTTCACATTTTGCAATAGACATGTAGAGCAATAGTTGGAGTTAAGATCTGTCTCCTTGTGTAGTTCTACATTGGCTGGTTTGCCCATCCCGTATTTAATGGAGACTACAGCAACATGATGAAGACAATCATTCAAGAGCGAAGCTTGGCTGCTGGGCTGTCAAAATCTCGGTACTACAAAAACATCAAAACCTGAAAGAGAAATAATGGAAAATTGTTTTACATTTATCAGAAAAATTAATTAGTTCAATATAACCCCTCCAGGCTGCCTGAGTTCACTCCTGAGGAGATTAAGAGGATTAAGGGTACCTATGATTATTTTGGGTTCAACCATTACACCACTGTTCTGGCATTCCCTGTGGACTATGGAAAGCTTCAGCACTATGATGCTGATAGGTAAGCAAGTACAAAACAGTAACCAAGTAGAAGAAGCAAATCATTTATCACATGATGAACTCAAAATTATGTTTCTACTTCATTGTGTGCTTTATTTTGTGAAAGAAAACCATTTCATTGATTTGATCTACTCAGGGGGGCAGGAACAATTGCTGATCGTACCTGGCTGGATTCAGGTTCATCTTGGCTGAAGGTCTCACCGTTTGGATTCAGGAGGATATTAAACTTCATTAAGGAGGAGTATGGAAATCCACCTATTATCATCACAGAAAATGGCATGTCAGAGCGTGGGCCTATTGACCTAAATGATACTCACAGGAGCTACTACTATGAAAAATACATCAACCAGGTGCTAAAAGGTATCAAACCACAACATTATTCTTATTTTTTAATAGAGAATATTTTCCAAAGTTATAAAAACAATTTGATAATATCTTGTGTAAAATAACTCTGGATACAGTATGATGGTTCATAATAATGCTGCTGTATCACAGATACAGTACCTTCATGTTAAAACCAGCATAAAACAAGAATTTTGTGTGTATTTGTATTGCTAAAGGTGTTAATTTTCTCCTCACAGCTTACTTGCTAGATAATGTGGATATCCGTGGCTACACAGCTTGGTCACTGATGGACAACCTTGAGTGGGCCACTGGCTTTTCAGAGAGATTTGGCCTTTTCTATGTCAATCACTCAGACTCTAAACTGCCTCGAGTGGCCAAGACTTCTGTTAACCGCTACTCCACCATCATCACCTGCAATGGATTCCCAGACCCCGCCTTGGGACCCCATGAGTGCTTGAACCCTGTACCTGAAGGTAAGTTCATGATTTAAAAAATCTACAATTTGCTCACGATCCACGTTATTGCTACTATGACAGACCCCCTGTAACTGTATCATGCAATGTGAGCCACAGTGAATCCCAAACAATATATCCTTCATTTGTGGTAGCACTCCGGCATATATTGAAAAATAGTTTCTATTAAGCAAAGCGAGTAAACAACATTTTAAACACAGCCGAACATCAAGCAAGTGCCACAACACAAGACACGATGATTTTGAAGCTGTTATTTTAAGGTAGAAGAGTTACATAATGTTGCTTTAACCTGCGTGTCTTTTCTATAGGAACAAGTGCGCCGGTGACGCCCCTTCCCTCTGACAACACTGTGAGCTTCCTGGGTATGAATCTCTCTACCGGTGATGCTGCGACCGGACTTAACACCACATTTGCTCTAATGATTGTTGCAATGTTTGGACTTATTTGTTCATCATATTGCTTCTTTAAGACAAGAAAAGATTCCAGGAAAAATATGTTTAATCTATAAACATGAAGTGGAAATTCTAATTGCAAATTTGTAGAGTTGTAATGGAAGTCCAACATTCACTGAACTGTATCAGTGAATATCTCAGAATCATATTCATAAACACTATTTTAAAACATTTCCTGCATGTTAATAAAGTTGGATATCAAATACTTAAGACCTTCATTGCAGGCTATAACAGCTAAATTCTTGTAAACTCATTCAACAAATGTCTTTTTTTTCATTTATCCAATAACATATTTAATATGTTACTGCTTTTCTGAAGTCTAAGTTCATGATTTAAAAAATCTACAATTTGCTCATGATCCACATTATTTGATTTGCTACTATAACAGATCCCCTGTAACTGTATCATGCACACAGTGAGCCACAGTGAATCACAAACAATCTATCTGTGGTAGCACTCCAGCATATATTGAAAAGCAAAACACAAATAAAGCAAACCAAATAGTTTCTGGTTACAGCAGTAGGAATACACTCACACCAGTGACATAGCTTCCACTTTGATCAAGTATCACATAAAACTATGTCTAATAACCTAATCCAGTGAAATATTTTATGACTTGCTTTCAAATGCATGACAGATCTTTCTCACATCCATGTCCACAGACTGCAGCACAAAGTGTTCGGACTTTTTGACAGACATTGTCAGATAGTTGTTTAAACACTTTTATTCCTGCAATGAGAAGTGCTGTTACTGATCTGCACTACACAAGACATTACAAAATTCATGAAATACAGACTTGCATAAGTCAGACATCTGTTATGTTACTCAATAATCATGTATGTTCTATTACTTAATACTGAATAGAATTTGGGGTTGCACATTTTGGGGGCTGCAGCTCAGTCATTACTTTAGCTGTGGTTTATGGTGTGATGCCTGGAACAAAATCACCATTGATGATCCAATGAAGGAAACACTATTATATAGTCAGACTAATGTAACCTTTCCTAATTACATTTGAAAGACATATGCTTTAATTCATGGTTAATGTCAAGAAAAGGGTTACTTATTATCTGACAAACTGGCATAGTCACTTCATAGTATACATTTATTAACTAATGCACCACCACAAGTCCAATGCCTGCAAGGACAACGTCTAAGTTTGTCAGTTCACTTGCCTACATTATATGTATATTTTACATATTATTGATAATGAAGTAGATTAAGTGATGTATTGTATACAGATGTAGTTTTGTATTAAAGTACAAGCTGATACAAAAGTCCACCGACCCTCATAGTTTTAGTGCTAATTCTGAATATTACCTCAGCATTGAGTGTTGGTGCGTAACTGCAATCAATGATCATTTTATCCAGGTCAACTGCAGTTTGGCTGAACCTATGCTTAGTTCAATTTACGCAGTTGCCCTTTAAACCTTTTATTATTACCAGTTCAGCTGAATAAGTGCCAAAACACACCTAAGATTACTTGTTAACTGATCCAGCATCATCCTCTTTAAGTAGGGCTAGGGGTTAGTAAAGAAATACTCTGCCTTAGCTTAATAAAGATATTCACTTGTACAACCTATACAATAATTTCTTTCTATGCATGTCTATAAAATAAATGGTATTAGACATTAGACATTAACTGACTATTCCCACTACATGTGATGTTGCACTCACCTAAACATTTGAACAGAATAACTATTTGAGGACAAGTTTGCTGTTTAAAGCAAGTAATTTAAGCAGATTGAAACCACTGGACATTTGTTGTAAAAATTTTATTTTAAAAACTAACCACAAAGTACTATCAATACAAAACGTATAAAAAGTACAAAAAGTATTGCTCAAAAATAACTTGAGATGACAATATTTGAGTTGGCATTAATGGCACTGTGGGTATGTTTCAGAATACAAAAGATGGCATCTTAGTAGAGCGCATTCAAGGCATTGAATTCACATTGAAATGATTACATGGTTTACAACCCTCATCTCGACTCTGGAACAGTGATAACACTAATCCAAAAATCAGCACTTTCAGACATGGAACGTGACAGACACGATTATCCCTTATTTAACCAACAGATACAATTGAATTTAGGTCCATACGGGAAAGGGGAAGCGTTTGCTGGTCGAAGAAGATGTGTGGATAAACTAAGCTGTAGGTTGAGATTCAGTGTTTCAAAAAAAAAATAAAAATAATAATAATTGTTGCACTTGAACTCAAATTGTACCAAGCCATTTTCAGAATGCGTCAGTCCATGGATTGAATCAGGCTTCGGGGAGCTAAGACAGCAGTGAATTTCATTCTTTTAAAGTTAAAATAAGCCACAGTGACAGAGCCTCTTTTCAATATCACAATACTCAAAACTAATACAAAAATAAAGAACAGTATCAAAAACATGTTTAAACGATTAACAATACAAGACAATATCAAGAGTAACATGTTTTTTCAAGCATTACCCAGGTTTGTTTATTCCTTTGGACAAAGGCTCCCCAAGTGTTTTCCAGTTACCATTGAGGCACCAAGGCTTGGGAATGTTGACTGGTGCAGTGCCAACATTGTCAAGACAATTGGAAGAAACCTTTGTATGTAAATTAACACCTTAAAAAGTCTTCATCAGCATAACAATAACTCCAGTACCTTTTTTTATGAGTAGTGCCTTGTCTATTGAACTTTTGTTTGCATTTACGAGCACTCACTCAATGATTCACTTCCTCACAAAGAAAAATGATTCTTACAGTTTAACCATGTTTTACGCACTACATCTGGCTTAGCCTTACTTTATCAAAATGATATAAAACAGAGTTCCAGTTTAGGTCTAAGGCAAACTTGAGATGCACTCGCTGAACTTCCAACAGAGGACAAACTTTTAAAAATGACTAATAGCTCTAAGTCTCGTAATAAAAATATTAAAAACACAATAGCTGCCCTGAGGGAGAAGTACATGTTAACCATAACCGTTCCGCTGCACAACGGTAGTTTGTAAGCACTTTGGATCTTCAGACAGGCTGGTGTCTCAAGTATTGCTAGGTTGAGACAACCAGTCTCCTCCTTGTTCGACTTCATGCTCGGCCACGACTGGCCATAACACTGGAAGGCTTGGGCTGACTTCATCCACCTCAAGCAAATTCATGTCACGCGCACACACACACACTCTCACTTTGATTCCCTTTTGTCTTCTAACTGATCCTGATGTGAGTTTAAGTCTGTAGTGTCAGCTGGGCTGATGAAAACCTATGCACGGAGACCTGTGAACAGAAAGATGGTGCCAATGTCAGTACATCATTTTGAATTGATTTACAAAAAGATCAAAATCAAAATACAAACTTTTGAAAGGAAGCCTCACCTTTCTCACACGTACTGCTCTGCTTCTCCTGGGCAAAATTCAGTCTGTTCTGCTCAACTGCAGTGCCGTTGGACTCTGGGCTGCTGCTGCGTGACGGGCTGCTCTCCCCATTCTGGTAAGCCATATCCAGATGCTGCTGGGCCAGTTTTAGGTGTCTACGCAGCCTCTCCAGCTCTCGTGATGAAGCCTCGTCCCCAAACGACTCTCGACCAGAGTCTCCCAGGTTATCCCTGAAGCCCATTTTTCCTGATGGGTCCTTTTTCAGAGCTGTGTGGTAGCCTGGAGGCGCAGAGGGCTGGCGGCAGATGGAAGACCTCTGGCTGGCCAGAGCTGGGTGACGGGGGGTGGGAGGCCGAGGCCGTGGTGCGCAAAAGCAGTCTCGAATACCGCTGATGCCAAGGTGAAGGATCTCCAGCATGGTGAAGAGCAGACACAAAGCGCTGACGGCATACATGATGAGCAGGAAGATTGTTTTCTCTGTGGGACGGGAGACGAAGCAATCCACTGTGTGCGGGCAAGGAGAGCGCGTGCATACATACGACGGTACCACTTCCAGCCCATAAAGGACGTACTGTCCAAACAAGAACGCGGCCTCAAAGATGGCGCGGGACAGCAGCTGAAACACGTACACCTTCATCAGACCATCGCGCTTGATGCGACGGCGTCCATCATGCTTTTTGCTAGGTTTCTCCACGACTTCCTTCTCCTTTTCTGGCTCGATCTCTTCCAGGATCAGCGGGTCATCCACCCCATTATCCTCTGCTTCCTCGTAGTCCCGGTTGGCACCGCGGTTCACTATCGGCATCCTTTTCCTGCCCCGGGGCCGATAGTCATCGTCCTCCATGCGGGCGATCTTATGCATAGCGAAGCCAAGGTACAGGATGGTGGGGGTGGTGATCATAATCACCTGAAACACCCAGAAGCGAATGTGCGATAGTGGCGCAAAGGCATCATAGCACACATTTTCACAACCAGGCTGCCCCGTATTACACACAAATTTACTCTGTTCATCATAGTAGATAGACTCGCCCCCGACAGCTGTCAGCACGATGCGAAACACAATGAGGAGGGTGAGCCAGATTTTGCCCACAAAGGTGGAGTGGTTGGAAATTTCATCCAACAGACGTGTAAGGAAACTCCAGCTCATTTTGGTTCTGGGACAGGAGGGAACCTCTCAAACCTGTGCAGAAAAAAAAAAGAGACAAACATTTAATTCAGATATATCATTTTAAATGTGAAAGGTAGGATTTAGTAGCAAATGGGAACATTAAGTCTCACTGTCACAAACAATATGCCAAAGCCACATGAAGGTGCAGCAAAATATTAATTTTGTATGTCACGTTTTATAATTGCTTGTCTGGACTCCCTGTGTTGTTGCACTAGATAGCCACATGGTGGAGCTGTTGTGTCACTGTTACAAAGCTGAGACGTCCCAAAACAACCCTTGAAGCCATGAATGACAAAGGCATGCTCAGGCAGAGATTCCTGAGAGGGTCTCCGTAGATGCTATCACCAAATCATGCAAACACAACCAGACTACTACTGTTTAAAAGACTGAAAGGAAGTATTGTTCTTTCAAGAAAGCAACAAGGGTGCTTGAGGAATATCACACTGAAAAAATGTAAATGTCATGAGCTCTGGTGTCCGAGACGATTCGGGTTGATGAGAAACTGGAACGTCTGTAAGCACCAGCAAACATCCAGACTTGTATTCCATAATTTATAAACCAGTGACCTTAACCGGGATTAACACACTTTCCCCACCATTTCAAAATTGCAATATTTCCTCGCCTCTGCTCTTTTTTTGCTGTGGACTAGTGATTGGCACTGTTTGAGATATGATCCGATGGAAGCTGTCTTTCCATTGTCCACCAAATGTAAAATGCCACAGTATCTCTTCAACTGGATACGATCATTCTATTCTCATCGTAACCTTTTAAATATACTGAAAACCTGCGTCACATTCAATTGCTGGAAGTAGTGGTTAAATAATCTGACAGAGTAAAGTGTGAATAGTGAAAACCCTAAAAGGAGGCAATGAAGAACTCCTGTGGTTTCACACCAGCTGCAACCAACCTCATAACAAACTTCTGTTGAGTAATTATCCGCTGCTATAAACTACCAGGCTTGTACCTTGTACTTGTAAGTAGGTAAACTACGATAGGAGTGTTTATTGTGACTTGTAAGACCTCTCACCTTCAGATCCATTTCATTATTTAAACATCTTGCTTTCAGGCCTGTTCAGAATTTACTTTTTTGCTGCTTTAATCAGGGGTTAAAAACCAGTGAGTGCATGAAATCACTCGTCATGGAATTTGCAGATTCCCCCTCTAAAGCAGCAGATAGGACAGATTACCACCAGATTAAGCAGGTATCTAATTATCGGATGAGTAAAATTTCATGATTCTTGCCTCTCCCTGGTGTCTACGCTCGTTGCATGTGTTCTTAGTAGTGTGTACTATCTTTTGTTCTGCCTGGTCAGTGCCTTCGGGTAAGAAAGGGGGAACCTAAAACCTAAAGTAACAAAGCTTTATATACTAAATAGACTCCACAGTCACACAAAGCTTAGGGGCTACAGAAAAACTGTAATGATATAGATCATCCACTTAAAGCTAAATCTAATGTTTAAACCAAATTGTGTCGTACATTGCTAAAATATTTCATAGGAAAGGAAAACGATTTCACTAATATTGACACAAAACCCAATCAACTCACCAACAGGACCAGCAACCTTAAGATATACACACTCTGTATTACATTTTCCAAATGTGACGGCAGATAACCTGAACTAAAGTAGGCTGTTTGTCGTTGAAATGAGTCAGTGACGGATCAGACTATTTACATTCCAGATCTGCAATGAACTTGAACTGGACACTTGATAAAAAAAAAAAAAAAAAGCAGGAACTGAAAAATGGCTCAACCAAATAAGGGAAAAGTGACCACGCACTGTCCAACAATTCGTAGACACATTAGCACTGACAAGCCTTTAAAGATGATACACCGCACCCAAAAGTACTCCACTAGAGATCCTACAGAAGAGTTTGTATTGGGCAACTCGCATGGTGTGAATGGGAGCAGTGTATGAACATGGCCTTTGATGTTAAATGTGGACGCAGCTATCCATAGGTAAATGAAGAGTTTTAACAAAAGCAACACAAGTGTCCCATTGTGCTTCTGCAAGTCTAACAACAATCTCAAGAATGATTAGCTTTAACAGAGACTTGAATAAGAACTCACACTCGTGATTGATCCAGTGGCTGCTCTATCAGATCCTGTGAATCATTGATTTTTAGTCTGTGGTGATTTAAGAGTTCAAATTCTGCTTGTAATCTGTGTTTACATGTTACACACACACTATTCTATCTATTCACACACAACACACAACACACACCACACACACACATGCACTGACCACACACCACACAGATTGGAGAGCAGGAGACTGTCTGCTATTCGATGGATTGCATGTATGGTCCTGTCTTCACCAGTAACGTTAGTATTGCAGTGAAACAAATTTCTGTCTCCACATGTGTTCCCTTTAAGTTTCCTGTTTTTTCAATTTAAATCAAATTTGGTTTACCACCTGCTCAAAGTGACTATCTTGTCATCATTCTTCATCTGTGGCTTTCTCTGCAGTGCATTTTGCACACTCCTGCATCCTGCTGTTACACCTGAATGGCACGACAATGACAGCACGGTGTGTCAATTTAAAGTTCCCCATCAAGATAACACCCACTGAGCGAAGGTATGTGGTTTCAAACTGAAAATGCCAACAGAAGAACATGCAGCACCACCAACTCAACGACTATACAGAGGTTTTATACAGATGTTTGTGAGCTACCGTAGCGTCTCGCGTTGGCCGTGTCCAGTGGCCGTCCGTATCAGTTACCTAAACCGTAAGCTACATGGCTGTGCTGTCGAGCTGCCAGAGACAGAAGAACAGGAGTCAGCAGCATACAGCGCTTCTTGTAATCTAGGTTAGCAGTTAGGATTTGCCTCTGGCTACTATCAGAGCTGACATACATGCCCCAAGAAAAACTACTGCCTCACATACAAGTGTTTGCGATTGTTTTTCTAACCCCTGCACAGAAGCTAAGCAAATCAGACACGCTGAAAAACCTGAAATCTGGAACAAAACACTGTATTCATCTCAATAGTCAGGCATTATGTTTGAAGACGGACACATGGTTGTATTTGCCGTGTATGCGCTGCCATTGTGTCTCAATGCTCCTGGTAGCAACTTGCTACTTTTCTTGCTGACAATGCAAACAAAGTGTTGAAACCTGAACTGTCACAGGAGAACTGCAGTGTTTTTCCAATATTAAAACCCACAGCATGACAAAATCTGTATATAATACACATAGCTAGCTCATATTTCATCAAAGTATGACTCAGCAACAGCTTGTTTGTTTGTTTGTTTGT